AAAGCCCGGGAAGAAGTGACAGTCTCCAGCTATAGGAAAGCTGTGGCTCTTCTCAGAGCCCACTGCAGGCAGGGCAAGGACTAACGGGCTGAAGTTACAGCAAAGAAAATCCTGCTTGGACAGCAGAACGAGGAGGGCAGGGGGTGAAACACTGAAATAAATTGCCTGGGAGGATTGTGAAATCCCCGTTGTTAGAGGCTTTTTAGAACAGGTTGGACAAGCCTGTCAGGAATGACAGGCAGTTCATCCTGCCTGCAGGCAGAGGATGGGCTAAAAATATCGCCCGGTCCCTTCAAGCTCTATTTTCAGTGATTTAGCAGAAGGCTGATTGAGCTGCTCAGCACCACCATCAGTGCCCTTTACCTTCCCAAGCGCAGGGTTTTCAACCCGAGAAGACAGCTGAGTTCCCACAGCAGTGACGTTCAATCCTTCGGCATCTGGGGTGCTACTCAAAGCCAAACACACCACCGGTTCTGAGTTCAGTAGGTGGTGTGGGTTGGGTTTTGGTGTTTCAACATCCTGAATAACTACAGCTCTCCAACCAAACATCCTGTGCTCTGGGGTTAACGTCCCGGCTCGGTCGCTGGACAACCACGTCAAGGCAGCCACACGCTGTGGGTGGTCGCCACGGGCACACCAAACCCCTGCGTCACTCCTGGAAGGAAACACGACACACCAGAGAGCCAGGAGGCATCTGCTGGAGTTAAACGCACTAATTCGGTGGGTGTCTACTAACAGCTGTTCATCCACGTGAAAATTTAAGGGAGATTTTCCAAGGCACCTAAAGGATTTGGGCGCACAAATCCACTGCCTGCAGGGCTCATGCTGCTAAGCAACAAAGCATCGAGTATGTCCTTCCCGGAGCACGCTAGCCGCATTAGAGTCCATGATGTAACTTCTCTTACAAAATGGGTGCTGGCTCCACTGCTCGCCTTTTGCAAGAGGATTCTGGTTCCCCAGCTTATCCTTAGTACCAAGTGCCCTGGCAGGAAACAAGCCTTGCGACCCGCAGTCGGGCTCACCACCGAGAGAAGGATGCCTGGTAATAGCAAACTGCCAAGCTCAGTACCAAGATGTCATCTGCCACAAAATACTACCCAAGCAGGTATTTGAATATTCCTTTTTAAAGAAACCACTGCTTTCCCTAGAGGTTGGACCTGTGAGATGGAACAACCACATGAGTTCCACTCGTACGTGGCACAGGTACCTCATCTCCAACCTCTCTGTGCTGAATTCCCAAGTCCAAAACCCAACACTGTGCAGCCGGGGGTGTTCAGCCCCAGGCCCAGCGTCACCCACCACGCCACTGCCGGGCAGCACCAGACCTCCCAGCACTGCTGCAGCACAAACCAAAGGAACCCGAATCCTCCCAAATCGCCACTTGTGAATGTTTCAGGTGCCTTACGCCCATTCCCCTTCCAGACTGTGACAGTGAATTTAGCCAGACAAATGATGAAAACAGAAAGCAAAGACGTTGGAATAGCAGTAATGGCAGTGAGCAGCTGCTGGCTGCTGAAGAACAAGGGTCCGTGCCACAAGGGACCTGCTCCCTTGGGGCTGGAAGCCTTCCAGCTGGAAGCTCCGCGGAGCAGGCCAGCATCCGCCTTGCCATCCTAGTCATTCTTTTGTTAACTATTTTTAGCTTTAATCTTACGACACCTATTGAGGGTGAAAGCAATTAGCAAGCAGAGACTAACATCCTGCTGCCTTTTAAAAATAGCCAAGCCCAGAGAAAAGACTTAGTCAAGCACATGATGTGAACATGACAGCCTAGGCCCCCAGAGAAATCACATGGCTACACACGCCAGACCTAAATAAGGAATTTGGGAACCTCTTTGAGTCACCTACACAACAAGCGGTAAGGTCCCGAGTGCGAGGGACATTTAAGCAAGAGGTTTGCTAGGAAAACCTCTATGGAAGACTCGTGCCCATTCCAGCCCTGACAACACACCCCTCAACAGCTCTAAAAGGGCTCCAACACCCGCGTGATTCACACAAGTCACAGCTCAGCACGTGAGAGCTCAGTTACCAGTGGGGAGGTCACGGAAGAAACCACAGTGCGCTCTGCGATCAGCGGAGCGATAACCCCGAGCCTCGGAAGTGCGTCACTCCGTCCAGCGCGGGGCTACGGAACGGCCACGCTGCCGGCCTGAGGCAGGCTCGGCCCTTTGAACCAGGAAAAAAACCAATTAACTAGAACAAAGTGGTGTAAAAACCACACTAAATGGAACCATCTTGTCTGTCTGGTAACACCGAGAAGTTCTGAAGATCTGGAATTTAAGTAATTTCTTAAAATTTCAGAACCCCATGGTAAATAGCTATTTCAAAGGGTCTTTGAAGTACCCCATTCTTACAGCACGCCTTCCACAGGCACAGCGAAAGCAGCAAAACCCTTGTTGAGGCACACAAGCCTCCTCTGAAGGGGCTCCATCCCTCACCCAGAACTGGAAGGGAGCAATGCAGTTTCTTACCATAATCCCAAGAGGGATGCGGGGAAGACAGAGTTGGAAAAGCCACCTGCTTTTATGACTGCTTTGGGTATCAGAAAGAAAAACTAATACTTCTTGGAGTATTCCTTGTTGCTGTTGAGCTAAAACCCACCACAACACAAAGAAGTAGTGCACTCCAGAATAAACCCTTAAATCCCTTCAGATAAGCAAATTATCTTTTTGAAGCACACAATCCTGGGTTAGATAAAAATGACCTAAAAGTGATGAGCCTGGAAGCATCCAGCATGCAAAGCCCCTGCTGCGTCCTAGGCATCCGCTGGGAAGGTCCATCTGCAAAACTAAACCGCATGTTCTCTCTGCTTCATTGTGACTCCGTGTACTTGTGCTCTTAAAGCCTAGAGGCACAGAAAATAGGGAAGAAAAGGCTTTTAAAAACATTGGAGACAAAGAAACCGCCTCTCTGCTACTGCAGCAAACGTTACTGGGAAAAGCACTATTGTTACTCCCGGGGGAAATCAGCCTGGAGAGCTGCAATTAGACAGAGGGGGAAAGAGGCTCGTTGACATATTTGTTTTGCAGACAGAAATTCATTTTTAGTTCAGCTCTTCTATATTTTACACAATGATACTCCCACAGGGACAGGAGCAGAATTATGTACCTTAGCGTTAGACAGTTGAAAAAACCAAACCCAGTATGTAAAGGTGGAAGAAAACTGATCCAGAAGAGCAAAGGGGAAAGTAGCAAGTTCCCAATATTCAAAACTGACACACAAATACACTTTTTTCCATACCACAAACTGAGTAATTTGGACTGTAATATTTCCTACTATTGTTATTTTAAAGAGCTGACCAAGCAAGCGTGAGGGTCATCAGGTTCAACGCTGGATCTCCTGTCAAGAGCAGCAACAGTGTCAGTCCTTGACTTTCCTGCACAAGCGTTGGAGGGAAAAAAAAAATCAAACCAAGAACACAACAGTTTCCAAATTGCACAAAATGTTTATTGTTAGTCTAGTACATTCAATATCATGTTGACTAGAATACAGTAATTCAAAATATTTTTGGCGAATTGAAATATTTTTAAAAACCATTTCACACACTCCAAAAAGCACTGCCATGAAAAATTAACTTAAAATTAAAACAAACATATTCAAGCAATAGCTTCACTTTTGACTACAGAAAACCTTTACATGTATTTTAGTGGTTTTAACAGTACTGCATTTCAACAAAACACACGAGCTCACAAAAAGTGGAAAATATTAAAATATCACAATGTTAAAAAACTGAGGCATCCAGATGTGTGACTGTTGTACTAGGAATTACCTACCCAGCTGCTCTCCCGTGGGGCAGTCACCTGGTCTGCTGTAGTGGTGCTGTTTCTCCAGTCGCCTGCTAACACGCTACAGCAACTCCTCCTCAATGCCTTGATTTTAAAGTTTGTCCCTCTCATAAATTCCGTATAGAAATGCATATGTGCTAAGATAGCAACCCACTGGCAAATCTAGGTGCAGCATTAAACGGTACCTTGAAAAATCTTCCCTACCTTGCTACTTATCGTTTGCAGACAGGCAATACCCAGACAAACTCTGAAAAAGGCAACACGTTTTGGTTTTGTTTTTAAATACTGACATGAAAAACGGAGGAAATTAGAAAAAGGATAAAGTCAATCTTAATATAAGACATTCATTCTATAGTGGGACAGGGTACAATTACTGGACAAACGGTCTTTACATCTGCTCGTTTACCGCACGTGCCCTACAGCCAGGACTCGCTACTCGTCTGGTTTTCCTGTACAGAGACAGCAGCACAGTTAAACACCCAGTCAAACTGGTCTTAAGTCCCAGAATGACAAGCGACACCGCATCGGGTTCTTCAAGCTCGCCTCCCCGCAAGGCCGCGCTTGCGAAGAACCAATAGCCACGAGCTCGAGGTGGTCGGCAATCGCTCTGCACCGGCCGCTCTGACCGGGACGTCCCAAGAGAACCACCCCAACGGCAGTGGTTGTTGGTTCTCAGGCCAACTTCAATCCCTCAGAAGACGTTCGTGTGACAGCACCGACACACGGGTAACGCTCTGGAGAAGAGACTGACTGTGGGTAGCAGGATATTAGCCGTCACCCCCCACACACTGCCAGCCCTTGGTAGGTCAGCTGTCACCCAAACCTCCTCCCAGCTGGGCAGCACGGAGCGGAATTGGGGATCTCGAGGGGAAACTCGTGTTAACTATTTCTCTTAAAGCACTTCGTTTCCACCCCGGATAAAGCCAAATTAAGGTGCTGTGTGAGCGGTAGCGTAACCGAGCAGAAAGCCATCCTGTTAAAATTGAGCAGAATCACAGTTCGTAAAAGTGGTTATTACAGTGACACTGGAAACCCAACCTGGGAAGAGGTACGATGTTTGCTTGTCAGCACGTGGAATGTAACCATCTCTTGCAAGATGTGCAGCGTGAGTACCTGCATAGATGACAGCTGTGTTTTCAGTTCAATAAAGGTACTGCTGAAGTTTACAAAAACCAGAAAAAAGTTCCTAGAAAAGTCCCGTTGTCCCACGAGAACGGGGGGTAAAAGATTATTTGTCTGTGATTCATGTTTAATAAATGACTAGTGGAAAGGTGATAGAAACCAACTCGAAATCCCAAAAGTTCCATTTGCGCTATTGCACTGACCTCCCCATTTGAATCGCTAATTTAGAAAAAATTCACGCAGTTAAAAATTGTAAAATTAAACTAGAATACAAAATGCTTTTGTAAACATCAAGTAGCCAGTTCTACTCACACGGAATGGACTGGGTACGGCCGCACAAGACCCTGGGTGCTTACAGCACTTGCCTTATGATGGGCAGTTGCAGGACACACATCGGTTCACAGTAACTGTGTTCAGAGAACTACCAAAGTCAGTGCAGTTTTCCTGTGCAATTTTCCCATTTCCCCGAATTCCTTAAGTCAAATAATACTGTTACAGAGGCCAAGAGATTTTTTTTTTTTTTTAACATACATCACAAGTGACGAATTATGTCCGCAGGGCTTCTGTAAAGGTACTTCCAAATGGCATAGTAATGCACAGCAGCTGCTGTGGCCACAAATATGTGCCAGATGGCGTGGGCAAACGGAATGACTCCATCGCTCTTGAAGAACACCACACCCAGGCAATATATCAAGCCTCCCCAGGCAACCTCCTGAAGTCCATCGGTGTTGCTCTGCCAATTAACAAGGAAAGATTAGGGGGAGGGTGTAAAGGAGGGAAAGGGTCTTTTATGTACAACACACGAAGTGCCTCTTCCCCACAGAAAGAAAGGTGGCGGTCAGCTCAGAACATCTTGGATGTGACCAACTGACGAGCGAGATGACCGCTCTGGTTTTACTACCCCTTGTGAAAGAGGCAGTAATGTCTTTGTGAGATGTCTCAGGAGCACTACGGAAGTTGTACCGGGAGAACTCAAGAATCAAGATGTTTGATGTTTGCTTCCTGCTCTCTAGCAGAGCAAACGTGGAGAAGAAGAAAACCACGTTACTGTGTGTATGGGTGAGTTTAATGCAGCTCCTACCAACTGGAGGAAGCACAGAGCAAGGTTTTGGTACAGCAGCAGTTAAGTACTGTAACACCTTGCGGAGGTGTCAGATTTATATTAGCAGCAGAGTTACTCAAAGTTATTTATAGTTACCCATTTTAAATAAGTTTTGAGGGAGACACGACTGAGTAGGATGCTTTACAGATGCACCAAGAAACCTTTTCTTAAAAAAACCACGCCAGCTGCTGAGAGATCACGCATCCCGGATACAGTGCAGTTCGATACCGTTCAACTACGCAACTTTGCAGTTCCTCTCTGCTTTACTGATAAAAAGAAGCCTCCAGTAAGAGATAAAATCTTCCACCTTTGCTGTCCCTAGGTAATTTTGAAAGGGACAAGAACCAATTCATTTCCCCCACCTTGGTCCAGACCACAGCATCAACTGATCAGATTTTCCAGAGTGCTCTGACACACCCAAAGACAAAGGGCAACAGGTCACCAGCAGTTCATTCTGCTTTCCTACAGAAAAAGCTTCTTTCCCAATTTGCAAGTGGCAACTGGGCATTAAGTAAGTTCATAAATAGTGAAATCTAGACACGGGCTAAGGTACTTCACATCATTTTTACTAAAATGGAAGTAATTAAGTTGTTACACCCAGTATCCTTTCAGCAGCGAAGTCTGGAACCTCAGCTCTTTTCATCCAGCCTCTGCAGCCCAGATTCAACAAAACAAGGTAGCTTTTCGCTGAATGTAAACAAGAAACCCAAAATGTAACTGACTATATTTGGTTCTGCTGCAGAGAACATTTACTATTCTGGTGGACTAAAATTAACATCTTTTCAGAAGAAAGAGCCATACTGGAACTTCAGCTAGTTATAAAAGGAAAACTTGTGTTTGTACCATCACTGGTCACATTCCTTACCATGGATGTCACTACCAGCGCAGGAGAAAATCCCATCGCTAAATAGAAAAAGAGTTCAACGATCTTATACCTAAAAAGGAACAATTTGAGTCATTTAAGGAGGTGTACAAGAAGATGAACGTTTCCTTCAAGAGTAAAATACTTCCCATTTTATGTCAGGATGTGTCCATTAAACTATTCAAAAAGCTTTCTCTGCAGATAGATACCCATTGTTTTATGACAAAAATAAAGCTGGTATTTCTCTCTGCCTCGATGCACTCATTTGCATTAAGTACTGGTGAGAATAAAACATTGAGACAACTTGTATTTTCTTATTTGACAAGAACCTCAGTAGCTCATCTCCAGAACAAAAGAGCTGGGCCCCACTCCCTGAGGATCAGTAACGAAAGCAGGCTCGTAATTCAGATCTGCAACTCAAGGACTCGCACATCTCAAAACAAAACCAAGGTGGTAGCAGGGGTCAAGACACGTTACATCGTATATCTGAACAGTAAGGGGTGAGGGTATAATCTCTACGCAATGCCACCTGAGTTAGGAGCATAAGAAAGCCATCATTCCAACTGCCTTCTGACCTGATCCACTCTCACCCCTGCTGTCTTCCAGCAAAGGTTTCAAAAGTGGGTACTTCCCTCCCACCCCTTTAAGTGAAGGCAACGATGTAGCCTGAAGATGATTTATGACCGAGCAAATACAATTATCTTCTGACAAGATGGAAGTTTGCATCATTCTTACCACGTATTTCCACCCTTCCAATGTGTGAAAGGCTGGACAGGAACACTCAGAAAGCACCCCTCACCTTTTGATTTTAGTTTAAAGGTAAATGCAAATAATAATTCTTACTTTTCGTGGTAGAGAAATACATAAATGGTTCCTCCAGCAGCCATCAGCCAGATAAACCACCGCATGTGAGATGCCAGAGGGCCAAGCTCCCGTAGATTTAACCTGGGGGTACAAAGATTTCAAGAGACAAAAGTGATGAGTGACTGACAGACACGAGTAGTAGGCCTTGATAAAAAAAAATAAACAACATTCAGAGCTGGAACTTAGGCACGATGGGGCAGAAGACACTTGGACAACCACACACTGAGAAGCAGAGGGTGTGTTTGCACTGATGCGAGGGAAGCATAAACTGGGTAAATGGAACATGAACAACACTTTCTGCTGTTTCTAATATTAATGTCTGTTTGGCAAATCCCAGGAGACTGTTACGTTGCATTTCACGATGCAGAATGGTCAATTGTACCTAAGACAGCCATCGATTTTGGAAAGCCACAAGGATAAACTGTCTACAATGGAAAAAGCTTTAATTGTGAAGCCGCGCTTCAGCTCTCTTACCATGGCGCATACGATGCTGCTATAAAGACGTAGATCATCATCCTGTCACACATGTGAAAGCAATGCTCCATTGTCCTAGGAAGAGAGAACAAGTCACCAAGACACATTCTGGAAAGAGACTTTTGTATCATCTCGGTTCCCTCACACACTTTGGGGAAAACACCATCAGCTCCGTAAGCGCTTAAAAGCACCTGGAAGACAGTGCAGCTGCCTTCAACCCCGGGAGGTCACAAGTGAGACGCACAGGAGGCAGCACTCCTCCGTTCCCCTCCCGTCTCCCCCCTTCACGCATCCTGCTCCCTGGCAAGGAGGCAGAGAGCTGTCACATCAACTCTGCCTAATCCAGAAACTGTTACTATTTAGTGACTACCAGTTAAATCCAATTTATGGCCCAGAATTATACAGGAGCCATAATGATGGGGAAAGACATGGAGCTTAAAAAGAAAAAAAAAGGGGGGGGAGGGCAAAACCCAGGATGGGGCGGGATCGCATCCTGGTTTTACTATTGCTGCCTTGCTCCCAAGGAGGCTTTCTTCTTGTCAGCTGTGTGTTGCATTACAAGTCTTTTGGCAAGCTCTGTCTTCCTCAAAGTATTTGAGCTGCCATAGCCCCAGAGAGTGTTCTCATTTCTGCAGTGGGATTATATCCACCCTGCACCTGGATCAGGTTTTTCCCATTCAACTTCTGGATTAAAAGGCACTGGGGCCTAGAAAAAAACACACATTTGCCTTGCAAAAAAAAGCAGCAGACAGAGTTTGTTTGTGTATGAGCTTGGCTCACTATTTCTTCCACCAGAACAAAGGGTGTTTTTTTCAGGATTCAGTACAGGGTACCACTCCAGCCTCCCGTAAAATCATGGTTTTGACTGAGAAACACAATGGGAGAACATCACAGAACGTGAAAATAAACCATCTTACAGTGATACCTTAAGTGACTCTTTTTCCAAGAAACGATATGAAATACTGTGGAGACGATGAAGAGCGCGCAGAGCCCCATGCCGTACATCCACGCTGTTATCTTTTCCCATCGATCATCGGAAAGCCGGTGGAGAAGGGCACTACCCACAATCGCAGGAACAATGAGGAACTAAGACAACAAAAGGCCATTGTTAAGTCTTCACTGGCAGCCAAGGCAGTACCACCCACAGCCAGCACCAGCAGGGCCGATAACCCTGCAGCGTGCCACCTAAACCATACGGAGGCATTTGATGGCGTGTTCCTAGTGGGAGCAAGGTTTTCATCCAGGTGGATACTGACACACAAGCATCAAGACTTTGACAGTTCCTTGGACATTGAGGTTATACCCATTAGTGATAAATTTCTCCTCACACAGCTATTAGGTGAGGTTACTAGCTCCCCTAGCCATGACACAGACAGGAGTTTGACAAGTCTTAGCACAGTTTTTATTTTCACATTCTGCATTGTGTTTTACAAAAGATTTTCATCTGGCTTGGATCTCAACCACCTCCTGCACACAGAGGCAGAGCACAGGACAGACCAGCACAAGGTTAAATCCCAAATGAAGAAATAAGGCAGCTAGAAGCAGGCAGTTAAGCAGATGGCAAGACTATTCAGCAACGGCTTTGCAGAACTTGGGATTTAGATATTGCAACTGCAAGCTCCTTCGAGGAGGGCCATGAAGATGCTCCTAGGGCTGGAGCACCTCTGCTATGGGGACAGGCTGAGAGCGCTGGGCTTGTTCAGCCTGGAGAAGGCTCCAGGGAGACCTTATAGCCCCTTCCAGTACCTGAAAGGGCTACAAGGAAGCTGGGGGGGACTTTTTACAAGGGCCTGTAGTGACAGGACAAGGGGGAACGGGGTTAAATTGAAAGTGGGGAGGGTTAGATTAGATATCAGGTAGAAGTTCTTCACAGAGAGGGTGGGGAGGCACTGGGACAGGTTGCCCAGAGAAGCTGTGGATGCCCCATCCCTGGAAGCGTCCAAGGCCAGGCTGGATGAGGCTTGGAGCAACCTGGTCTAGTGGAAGGTGTCCCTGCCCATGGCAGGGGGGTGGAACTAGGAGATCTTTAAGGTCCCTGGAAACCCAACTAACCCATTCTATGATTTCATGAATACATGCTTAATGCACAAAGATGATGTTCTTCTAATGCAGTGTATCCAAGTCTGTTTTCCTTACCACCTCCCTCTCAAGCAGCTTTAATCCAGATCTTCCAAAATAACCACTGTTAGAACATTGTGATGGAATTAGCACGCTCACATGAAGCATCTAAGACGTGGGCTGCAGGCTTCATACACACTTAAAACTACACTCCAGAACAAACTACATCACATACCTTTGTCTCATTCAGGGGAAAAAAGCGAACAACCAAACCCACAACACACCAGGGGGAAAAAAGGGGAAAAAAGGCATGTCCAACAAGTATTTAAAGAACCGAACCTGCTGGCTCAGACATTTCTACCTGTCTCCTTCCCCTACGAAGGCATATTTTGTCAGTCTAAGTTAAAACCACACCCAAGTTCCCTTCCAGCCCCTACAGGGTATCTTAAGATGTTAATTTATTCACTTGAGCGGTAAATAAGTGTCACAGGTTAAATTCTTCCCAGTTTAACTTGAGTCTCACATGCTAAAGAATAAAGCTCGGACGAAGAAATGGTTAAACAAGTCTGCCAACCCTGCTTTGCATTACAGGTTTGATAGCTCGGAGTGCAAAGTTCTGGTGTAGCCTGCACCGTCCCTGGCCCTCATCTGCTTACAGACCAGGAGAAACTGCAGCTCTGCTGACAGCTGCAGCGCAGACAACGCGGAGCATGCCGAATGAATCTCAGCAGCGGTTGCTTAATCCAGAGAGTTAAAAAAGAAGAGGCTTTTACTTCTGGCTTTTGAAGTACCTTAGCTGTAGCTTCATTGCAGTTGTACTAAATCTTGGAAAAGGGAAGAAAACACATGTATGCCAAAAGCTGTAGAGCCACAGAAACTGAAAATATGGCATTCCTATATCCACAGCATTTGGACTAGAGGTGAAAACACTTTCCTAGCTTTGTAATGAGTCTGTGGGAGTTGACCTCATGAGCTTTAAGGCCAAAAATAGTCTGCCAGTCTGGATTCTCACTGATCACAAACCATAAATTTCCATATCCATATGCTTGACAGCCTCCAAGCTCGAGGAAGGTTAAAGGGTTTCACCCCTCAGGAGACTGGTCCCTCCTGTGTTCCACACGTGGCATACAGTGTGAAGCGTGGCTGAAGCCCTTGAGACAGCAAGGAACTGACCAGATGTGGCAGCTGGTTCATTCAGTTTTTGCTGGAGACAGGAAGGTGCCATGCTCCTGAAACAGATTTTAGCCCTGCGCACTCATGCTGTATCCATGTTCATCAGTTTCCTTCCCAATTTCTAGTGCAAATTTCAGGTTTGAGTATACTTGACAGAGAGTTAAAAGGTTGCGGAGAGATTACGTATCCGCAAGTGACTGAACACAAGTAACTAGGTAAAATGGCAAATTCCAATAATACCCTACTAAAAACCTGGGTGTGAGCTGCTCAGAAATTCTGCCTGGAGATCTGACTGAGACTGTCTTAGAGGAAGGAAGACCTTTTTGGAAAAGGGATTTAAATATTACACTGAACCACCTACCTTTCTTACACAGACACCCCGGCTTCTCACTGCTCTACTGCAGGAAGTATTTCACAAGTTAAGCTTGGACATGGAACGCTCAAATGGGCCAGAGTTTGCTGCCAATCCCTTTTCCAGAAACTATGGTATATGAAGTTACAGGGTTAAAACCAAATAAGCAACTCTTATCACCTTCAGAATGAAGAATACAGCTACAAATGAGTGTGAAGTGCTGAATTAATCTCTTCTCTGCCTTGTCCTGGCTCTGAAAACAACTCTGCTTCCCACAGGGAACAGCACTATACCAACACAAGAAGGACTTACTGTTTTTTCTAAGTATTCTATTGGGAAACAGTTCCCCTCTGTGCTCGATATGCATCATGGGAACAGTTAGACTAAGCAAGATGTTTTATTACTCTCTTTCTGACCAAAAATAGCTAAAGACAAAATCCAGAAACGATACCCTGCTGTTCCAGCCAACTGGACAAGAGTTCTTTACATACTAATGCCACAACAGAGAACATATGAAACAACGGACTTCATCAGATCTAACATCCACCTTCCAAAATAAATATAACACTTCACAAAACAAGACAGATTTTCCCATATCCACTTGAAAAAAAACCCACACTAGTGCAAGAATCGCATTTTAATCTTCAGAACGGAGAAGCAATCCATCAGTCCTTTAAAAGAAGGAGTATTTACCAGAAAATAGCCAAAGAATCAGAACTAACAGGAGGAGTGTGATTGTGCTGTGTCATTTTACAGCAATGACACAGCATTTCTGAGTTGCCAACACTCCTAGTGATAAAACTGGCTACACGTCACAAGCAGCTTTGCTTACTTCATCATGAAGTGCAGTCCTTCCAAACGGGCATCGTCAAGCCCAGCAACTTAACGTGCTGGGAACAAACCCCGAGGCGTGATACTCCGATGCACGAATTTTAGCACCTTCATTGATACTTGCTAAATTAGAAGTGGGGCTGGCAGAGAGATTTACAGAAGAGGAGAGCAAGCACTAAGTTTTCTAGAGAAAAGCCAGCACAAAATGAGAACACGAAGTTACAAACCCCTTTGCAATAAAGAGGAAGAGGAAAGTTTAAAGTCTATTTACAGCTATAGGCAGGAACTTTTAAGAAGAGACTTGGGCACAACCCCCGTGCGATGCATCTTGGGAAACCAGCTACCACAACCAGCAGCCACTGCAAAAAGCCTTCAGGCACAAAGGAAGATGCTGGAAGAGGAAGCTGCAAACCTGATCAAGGAGTACTTCAGGGAAATTAAACGCTGTGGTTACTAACTCACAGCAAAGCATCCAGTGTCTCCCATCAATCTGGGGTTGCTTAGGATACTGGTACGTTGGTCAGTATTTTACCTGTGTTCTTTCCATATGTCTGTAAACACCCACGCAGAGGTTTAAAACTGTTAGAACTTTTGCTTTGGTCCAGAACACTGGTGCCAAATCAAGGTATCTTCTTTGCACTCCAGGCTGTACAGGTCACGCAGGCAGCAACAACGACCTCTGACGCTCGTCGTGTTATTGTGGTGTCACGTGCCTTCCATGGAGAGGGAAATACGAACCCTGTAAAGATGGTCCCTATGCTTCCTCTTTGGAAAGGAAGGCAATGGAAAGATCAAAGCTGCCAAAATCACCTGTGACACAGAGGGAACCACGAAGGACTGTCCATCTCAAGCTGCCTGCTCCAGAAGTACAGCCCTGACGTACAGTGTCTACCTGCTCATCCATTTCCTTTCCTCAAACCAGGAGACAAGCACCACGGAGTGGGAAGCCGACTGGCAACTTGGACTGTGCAATACACAGAGAGCAGAGGAATGGTTAACATCAGTCAGGTAGAGTAGAGAGATTTGCATCATAAGAGCCCTCCTGAAATTTTCATGAGCCCTTCTTCCATGCTCAAGTGGCCTGCTAAACGCTCCAAGCCTCACTGTTGAAATATCTATACTACTTTTTCTTTTCCTATGCAATATTTATACTTCTTTTTTTCCCCCAGCACTGCACAACCCAAGACTGGAATAAAGAGATTATAACTTATTTTTAGAATATTTCCTCCTTTTAATGCAGTTGGAAGAAACTTTTAGAGCAGCATAAAGCAAGCCATGCCTAAATTCTGAGGTTTTAATACAACAGAGCATATCTTTTGTCTGATAAACCTTACGCACACCAGAAAGTTTCACGATGAAAGTTCCATCCCTGCCCTTATATTTAGCTTACAACTAAAATTCTTACAACCCCTGCTTCACTCATACACCGTTTCCTTCCTGTTCTTCCAGAGATAGCAGTCTTCTCTGTACTCAGCTGCTTCGCTGCCCTTCCTGTCTCCCAGGGCCTAACAACAAGTCACTCCCTCATTTAAAGCTAAAAAAAGACATTTTAAGTAGCTTTACTAGTTAGAAAGAAGATACTAGTAAGGTATATTCAAAGATACCATACCAAGCTACACAAAGTTAGAGCTTAAGTATTGTAATAAAAAGCTCTGAATGGGGTTCTGCAGCTGATTTTCTGGGGTGGATTTTTTGTGTGTGGGTGTTGTGGATTTCATGTTTTGTTTTCTTTTTAAGCAGCTGTCTAAACTGACTATTGTGTATTTTTAAGTCAAAAATCCAGAGGGGATACCTACTGAGGAGTACCGCGACGCTTGTGAAATACAAGTTGACTACTTCCTGAATTCTGAATAAAACTTTAAAAGAAAAATATATGGAGAACCATGGCTGAACTTGGATTTGTAGAAATGACATCAATGTCTGAGTGAAAACTCACACTGTAATCTAGCAGCAAAGACCATCCACTTGACCTTCCAACATTTCATAGAATCACAGAATGGTTTGGGTTGGAAAGGACCTTAAAGCCCATCCAGTTCCAACCCCCCTGCCATGGGCAGGGACACCTTCCATAGCCCAGGTTGCTCCAAGCCTCATCCATTTAGTGAACAGTCTGTAACAGAGCAGAAACAAGCACCCCCCCAGCTTTTTCTGTATAATCCACTGTTGCTTTCCCAGAACAGATTCCTATTCCAAGGCTTTAAATTTTGAATAAAAGTTATTTATTGCATACAGTTTTACTTAAAGGAGTGACAATCCCTCTATTACACTCTATTTTCTTCTCAAGGGTACGTTAACATCGCATACCCCCCAGTTGTTAACAGGCCGTGGTCGGATTTAGCACGTAGCTTGACTGTTCAGAAAGCAATCAGCTTCACCAGAAACAGCAGCATTCCCAAAAATGCTGACATGACCCCTTGGCTGTAACCTGCTGCTCACAGGCAGGAGTACAACATGCCTGTTTTTCAACTAGACGAAGGCCAGAACTGCTAAGGAGTATGGCAACTTCTGCCCGATATTTTGAAATCTAAATTTTGGCCAGAGTAAACAGGATTTGTACAAGGATGATGAGATAAACTACATACTTGTGCTAACTAACAGAACGTTGCTTCATGCTCTAGACAAATGAGCACATATTTACATAATGCTGTACTTGAGACCCTTGGCTTAAAAACGTGTAACTTCAGTTCGCTCTTCTGGACACAAACCAAGGTGATTCTGTTTTTACCAGCAACAGGGAGCTATAAGCTGGTTATTTATAAAACACACAAAAAGGACCCTTAAGACTAGACCATTTTTCTAGGACTGAAGAGTCCCGTGCACTACCTTGAGCATTTGTATCTGTAGCTCACTCAGATAACTGGAGATAAGGGACTGAGGACAAAGTCAAACATACTTCAGATGTTTGGAGTTAAACAAGGGATTGAGAAGTACAGGCTGCTTTTATAAAAGGGCAAATGCTATCTTAAAAAACAAACAAACACATTTTTAAGTCCTTTTCAAAGTGCCAGACAGCAAATTAAACTTCCTAAGTACTTAAGAAAAAAATCCCACCAAACCCAACCCCAAAATAAGGGACCGCTTTCCTCGTTTTGTACGCATTATGTATTCAAATCTAGTATTCTGAAAGTAAGGACAAAGAGTTTTAGTAGGGCTGTCTGCACTATTAGTGCCTCTTTCAAAATAGCAGATTTCTCAATCAATTTGTAGATGGTATGTATCAGAACTAAGCCATTCCAGCCCTTCTAGCCAATACCCAGACGGCAGCCTCGTGAAGGCCTCCACCTCCGACACCTGCAGCACACAATTCACACACCATTCCCCCAGCACAGCAGGGGAATCTGCCCTGCAAGACTGACCGGTGCAGACCTATATTCACCTTAACGTAGCCATCCTTTGACTGGGAGAGAGGAAAACCATCCAGAGATGTAACTTCCTTGGGTGAGAAGGAACCTTACGAAGCAACCGGAGCTCCTGGAGCTCCAGAACAGGGACTAGTGATCACCAGCCACCTAATTAACGTGACATTTTCTGGACTGAAAATGCTGAAGCTCATACAACAAAACCAGAGAGGTCGTAAATATGAATATGCTCGGGCAAAGGTAAGTATTGAGTCACCCAAACCCCCAAAAGTTCCTGAAGCACCTGGTTTAAGGAACGAAGGGAATGCACTTACTGCGTGGGTGTAACAGTTAGCAGCATGCTCGTAGCAGGTGGGCTTGTAGCGGCTGTTGGCTGGAGCTGGGTGGTTCATGAACCTGTTGAATAATTAAGAGGGATTTTTAGGAGAGTAAATAAAGCATCTCTTCGGAGCGTCATGACGGAATATCTCCAACCCACGAGTCTTAGAAACTGTAAATACACACAGTAAAAGTAACTTATTTAAACTGTAAGCTCTCCCGGATGCATTCTCTTGCCAGGAACATGTTACATTTCTGTGAGTGCCTGTGGCAGCTGCTGGTTCTCTTGAATCAAGACTTTGCATCCAGAAGTCAGATCCCTTCCTTCCCAACAGCGTGGATGGATGGAGAACCATTTCCTATTTAAATCACATCATACAGACTCAGATTGCTCTTGGAATATGGACTTCACCATAGCCACCACAGGTCACTTTTTTAAATTCTTGAAGCTACAGCAATATTCCAGTTCTGTAACACCTTGGAATAAACCAACTTAACACTGACTTTTTCAGCTCCTATAGAAAGCAGTATTTGTGTTTGGAGCATTAGATGGCTTGGGATCTCACTTTGAGGCTAATGCTGATCTTCTGTCTGTGACCAAGACCCAAGCTACGCAGGGATGAAAGGAGACCTGAGCAGGTCTAGTGGAGGGTGTCCCTGCCCATGGCGGGGGGGAACTGAATGGTCTTTAAGGTCCCTTCCGACCCAAACTATTTTATGATTTATGACCCTAACAGTGAACTCTGAACAGGAAACATTCTGGAGGCTTACCACAGACGTTCTACCTTTTTCTCCAAGAATTCTCAAACATTACCTTACAGAGAACTAACCCCAAATGCAGCCAATGCAAGTCAGACCACGTCTGATGGAACTGGAGAACGTTTTGGAAGAACTTGCCAACACAAATATCGCATTTAGCAATTCTGAAAACCCAAGCACTTGAGTTGTTTCTGTGAAACTACAGAGTTTAAATCCACGTATAAAAACCTCAGCAGACGTTTATATGCAACAAGACAGTCAGGTCAAAGCTATAAACTACTCCAGCTACGGTGCCGTGTACCTTACCCCAGCACAGCCTACTATCACACAGAAGTGATTCTCCTTCACTAATAAATTCCAGTTTACTCCAGACTATTATAAAACTATGCACTGACAATTAGTCAGGTATCCAACAAGCCAGGAACAGTTTCACAACAAACACAAAACACGTCTGTATGTTCAGAACTGAGAGCAGCTTTGTTAGCCCGATTTACATAAAGAGCTTGTTAGAAAAAACTTTGGTCCTCCCGCATGTCCCTCCTGGTTTAAGTCAAAACTAGTCTTATTCATAGGATATCCATAAAATATTATCTGGTCTCAAACCAAGGAGAAAACAAACAACCAAAAATCCCAACCAGAATCTTATTGTTTGGGTAAGCAGTTCCCGATTTCTGGAATACAAGACACTTTCTTACACTTAAATCAGTAAAAAAACCCCTATTTTTTTCAAACTGTTACAGGAAAATTTAACAGCATTGATAAAATAACACAGTGTCATGATCTCTCTCCAAACTGTGGCAATTTCAAAAAACAGTTTCAACTGTGACTAATACAAAGGATGAGAAAAATATGAATTTTATTCGCAGACACCAAATATAAATGGTTGTGAGCAAATGAATAATCCCGTGGGAGTTAATACACTGTTAAAAAATGGCAGTTCTTTTGTCAGTGACAAATGACACCTTGCTCCCATCTCCGAGAGGATGACGACACTGTAGTCAGGCACACAGGCTCGCACAACATTTGGAAAATGATTCTGTTGCCGGGTGTATAGAGATTTTCAGCAGCTGCTGCAGACCCTCTCAGCATCCTCTGCAGGTGGAACATTCACTTTACTCAGTTCTGCTTCCCAGTTCGGAGAACATTTAAAAATAGAAGCATCCCTTGGCTCAGCTGAGTGATCGGGATTACACTTCCCTAGCTCAACTCCATAAATTCAAAGCCACAGGAAACCTTTCCTGATTACATCTAGAATGTTATTCCATTTCTCCAAAGGCCACGGTGGTACCTTGGATGTCTCACAAGAGGGAAAAAAAATAATAACACCTCCCCACACCCTACAACAACCAAAGCACCCGAAGGAATAAGCTTGTCCTCCGTATTAGCTTTACAATTTCTGTTGTGCCGAATTTCTATAAAAGCTAGTATCATCATTTAAAAATCTGTAAATAATTGAAGGTAGCCTGCTAATGGGGCCTTCCATTAGAGGATAACTTTCAATTTTTCCCCCTTTTTCATTTATATTGATTGAGTAGAAATAGCACAGATACTGGATTTTTCTAAATTAGTCACAAGAGAGCCTAGGATAATGTTATATTTCAGAGAGAATTATGAACAAATATTTCAGAAATGTCCATTTCCTGTTAGGACCTCTTACTCTCACTAAGCTGAAGACAGTGCTACTAGCAGTAAAAGAGAACAAAGACACTAACAAAGTTACCCTTTCTCTGTTTCCTACACAAAGGGTTGGGGTTTTCCCCTCCTTGTTTGTGCCAGCACCGGAATGATGCAAGTACTCCTTCATCTGTGTGGTAACTTCAGGCTGGCAAAACAAGCATCAGGTTTCAGAAGAATTCACGCTTACAAAACATTATTTTTTAAAAATAAATACTTCGATTCAGAATTCACGCTTACAAAACATTATTTTTAAAAAAAAATAAATACTTCGATTCAGGTTATTTAAAAGAACAACAAAAATGGTTAGTAAGAGCCTTACTGGGCTCTATTTAAAAGAACAACAAAAATGGTTGGTAACAGAGCATTACTGGGCTCCCACAACAGCTGGAACTCGCTTTTCTCCCACCGGAGAGAGTTCTAGCTGAACACCACCACTGGCCATGCTTCACCCATCCCCTTCTCCTCCAAGGTGATACTGATAACACCACTAGCGTGTGTTGGCAGGAGGGAAGAATCAGCCTTTACCTCCAGCTTAAAGAAAAGGATCCCAAAGCCCCCCAGTATCTAACTCTGCTGCGAACGGACGTACCTGCAGCTCCCCTTCCTGCAAGGGCTGCGAGCGCAGGCAGCAGAAGCTGGAGCGTGTCTGCTCAGGGCACAGCAGAGCTGCGGTTGCTCCCCTCTGCCTTTTTACAGCACTGTGTATAAACGTTATCAGGAACAACCTTAGAGGAAGGATCATATAAAAGTGGTTGAATAGGGCAGTAATTCCAGGCAATGCTTCTCTGGAGTTAGTTTCATTTCCAGCTGGGGAATTTGTGTTTAAAGGCCTTAAGAAACAGACCTGAGGTTTGCACATAGCTGCACTGTGATACTACGCTGACGTACTCGCCAAAACCAGGAGAAGTTACTTTGATCCATACTGTTAAAGTCAGTCCTAGACCCCTGTAGTTACGTATCCGACTGGCCTTGCAACACGAAGGCAGAGGAATCTGATTGCAGACTTCTCCACAGTCTAGAAGCAAAATTAATGGGTTTGCTCTTTCTTAAATAAATAAATAAACCGCACACCACCACCGGATGCTTTTTGTTTTCGGCCACATGAACACTGCAACACAGGGACATTGTGTTTCCTTCCACCCACGGTTCAAGCTGGCCTCTTCTGAAACAGGGAATTGTGAGGAATATACTCTCACCTTCCACACTTTGAGCGAGACTCGACAGACAGCATTCGGACGCTGTTTGCTCCTCAGGAAAGGCTCTCCAACACAACCACGGAGGTTACTATCACATGCAGGACAGCCTGGTAAGGTGGCACGGGACTACGTTTCGCAGGACACATCTTGAAGCGGAGCCTTCTGATCCTGCCACATTAATGCACTCGGTAAGAGGCGCTCCAG